GGGAAAAAGTGGAGTCCTCTGTTTGACAAAAATGAGAAAAGAGCCAGTTATTGATGAATGTAAGTCATGTCTGCCACTCAAGCCACTGATTACTTGGTAATGAACGAAACAGACATTGCTTATGTTTTCCTCATGGAACTCTCAACCCAGAGTGACATGCTGCCAGGAAAGTGATAGCATCTGTAAAAAGCCAGCTTTCTACCCAGGTATAAAGTTGTGTGGGAAAATGGGAAAGGGTAGCAGTTGAGTACAAGTGATGAGTATGGAGAACTCAGCAATCCTCAATAAATATTTACTGAATGAATGTTAAGTGAGGAATAGGAAGAAATTCAGCTCTAAAAGACTAAATGAAAAGGCACAGAGAGAGAACAGATATAGAAGAAAAAACACATGGAAACAGTTTATGCTTTTCAAATGTTCTGAATAATATTTGGGAATAAAAGCTGTTCTCGCTATATCTGCTGCTTCCAGGAAGCCTGAAATATTTCCGTGCTGGTCTCTTCTGCTGTAGTTGGGCTGTGGGGGACTGGGTTCCCAGCCAGACTGTTTCATTCTTACCTAGTCAAGAATGTAGGATTGTTGGGAAGCTTGGACTCTGGCTGTTCTGGAATGTTTTGTGATGAAACAAGTTTGCTGATGGACAGCTGTCAAATGTGGAGGGGTCACAGGAAATGAGGAATTATGCTACTATAAATACTGAAAATGTTACAGAGTTAAGTGAAAATCTTGTGAATGCAATTTTATGGCAGAATGTTAGAATTGGTTCCTTACAATATTAAAGTGATTTATACTTTTTAAAGTTTGTAAAAATTATAGAAAGCATATAAAAAAGAAGCATTTATAATGCAGTATAGAGATCAACCCTGTTAATACTTTGGTATAGTTCATCCCAAACTTTTTCTGGGCACACACATTCATTTGTCTTACAAAATAGAGCATATAATATATATTACTCTGTCACTTCCCTTTTACTTAACAATATTTCTTGAATATTCTCCATGTCAGGAACTGTACTTCTACAGCATTATTTTTAGTTACTGCATGGTGTTATATCATATGTATGTATCAAAATATATTTTTTATCATCTTCATTTGGTTGATTACAGATGTTGCCATTATAAACAACCCTGCAATGAATGTACTCTGGATGAATTTCTGTGCACCTCTACCTCTTCAATTATTTTATAGGGTAACTTTTCTAAACTGGAATTACTGGGGCAAACATTATATACATTTTAAGGTTGAAATATGTACATTACCAAATTGCCCTCTAAAATATTATTCCAATTATATTCCTACCAGGAATGAATGAGAGCTGAAGAGTGTTTAGGGAGCATGTAAGTCTACAAAGTGTTTATAGAGAGTTGAATATATTATGAAACATATGTTTACTTTTGACAGCTATTGGCAGACAAGGTGACTTAATATAATTTTGTAAGTCTCCCATCTTATTTTGAATGTTTTATGATAAATCATCAGTATGAGAACTTCACATTAGATTTCTTAGAAAGGAAGTTAATACAGATTCACATGTTCTGCTAAATGGGCTCGTTAATATCATAGGAGCTGGCATAAGACCCATGGATGGTCCTTTGGATATGTGGAATGAGTTCCTTGCTGCACAGAAAGTACTGAGCTCTGCCACTGGCCGTGTTTTATGTCTGGGGCTAAATACTTGTGTCCATCTTTCATGATTTCTGAATATTAGGCTATTCCCATTTTTTTCTATAGAGAAAATTGAGAAAAACTTTTGGATAAATAGACTAAACTTTGAGGGACATAGAAGACATAGTCAGGTGTCTACTTACACAATCTACTAATTTCGATATAGCTAATGCTTTAAAACACGTCATGTAGAGTATTTTTAGAAGTATTGCTCTTTTCCCACCCTTATATTTCATCAAGCAGTTTTAATCCAATAGCCCCTCCAGTGGATTCTGACTTCAGAGTGGTGCCACCTTTTCAGCTGGCATGCTGCCATCCTTGTCACCTGGAATTCAGTCCGAGGGGTGTGAGCTCCAAGACTTGTGAGGTTCCATGATGCCATCACTGGGAATCTTTCCCCGAACTGTAAAAACCCATTTACTGGTCTTGATCTTCAGTAACCACTATCAGTTTTTTAGTGATCTTTGAAATGTTTTTGACAGATCCAACTCTTTGAATTGTTAGGTCACATCTCCCAAATAATTACTAACTCAGTATTACAAGGGGAGGCCCAAGCCCCACAATTTATTTATAAAAAATGTGTATTTATTCTTATATGTTTAAACTTCAGTCACCTTTAGAGTACTCTCCATTTGATGTAACACACCCATCAAGACATTTTTTCCCACTGCTCAAAACAGGTTTTGAACTCATCAATTCTGATGCCTCTTAGTGCTTCTGCCTTTTTTTGTTTCACCATTTCCACATCACCGAAATGTTTCCCTTTGAGCACTGTTTTCATCAGGGGAAACAGCAAAACGTTGCTCAAGATGAGATCGGGTGAATGGGGCCTGAGGGTCATGCTGGTTTTGGTCAAAAACTGCTGAACACTCAGTGCAGTGTGGGCAGGTGTACTTGTAAATCACCCATTATGAAATGGGCAAATGCATTGAAAGAGTCTTCAAAAAAAAATTCACTGAATCCAAACAAAGCTTCTCACAACAATGCCAGCTGGTACACGGATACAGATGGGCTCCTAGAACAGTCAGGTAGTGGGGGAACTCTGTACTACAAGGGGCCCACTTTCTAGAAGATTATTCCAGTTTTGGGGGAGTCGCCCCTCATATATTAAATTCCTTTGTTTCCTTTTTTTTTTTAAGCCAGTGTACAGATTCACTGTTAAAAGCATCCAAAACTCTCATCATTAGATGCTGTTTCAGGTTAATGCAACTTCCCTAAAGAGAACTTCGTTCAAAATAAAGTAATTGAGAGGGTGCCTGGTGTTATGGGAAACTTTATAAGGATTTTAGTACAAAGTGGTTCTATTTCTCAGAGATTTGGGGGAAAGAAAAATCTCACCTTACATTCATCTGTATCTTACAGCTTTAACAAAAAGAGAGGAGATTCATACAAATCTCCTTTGTGTTCTTATGCAGAGTAATTATTGAATATGAAAGCTTTTGTCCACCAATAAAAAATATCTTAAAAATACAGTAGGATTGTAATGCATTTATCTCATATAGGAACACTGAAAATATAGGTTCATAAAGCCTGCTGCTTTGAAAACACACTGGAATCTTTTAAGAACTATAGCTTCTACCCCATTAAAACTCTTCCTAACCCCAAATCACATCTACTTTTACTTTAATACAAAACAAATAAACAAAACTCTAGCAGGAAATATTTAGAATAGATACTCTCTTGGGGATCCATAGCCAAAATTTTTGGAATTCAAAATGAAAAACTTAGAGAACTGAGTGACTAAATTTCCTTCCCTATAGTATTACTCCCTCGTTAAGATATATTATGTTATATTGTTTCCATTCTTTTCATCTAAGGATTTCCAAGAGAATCAGACTGAAAGAACATACTACAAATTAAGTGGCAACTATTTGATTGATATGGTTGAGATAGCATATGGTGTACTCTTCACTTTCTAACTGTTTTGAGTCTTTGTTCGTGCCCACAGCAGCGGTGTGTGTGAGAACTATCCAAAAAAACTTCCCCGTGGTACATATATTTAATCTGCATCATCTTCAAAAGGGAAGAGCACTTTGCATTCTTTATTATTTGAAGTAAATCAAGCTCAGAGATACAGAGCTTAAAATAGTTACTGAATTCCAGTTCTAAAAGAATTTACAATTCCATGAGATCAGAAATGCCATTTTAAAATGTTAATCAGAAGATGCATTTGTTTTAATTCTTGATACTGAAAATATTGACTGAATTGTGAATTAACACGTTTAGGGTTGCAGATGTCATTTTTCATGAGATTTCCTGAATGATGTAATTTTCATATTTCATATCGCAGTTTGATCAATTTACAGATTTATTTTACATAATTAGTTGGTAAATGAAAAATTCAATTGCTGATATATAACTATTTCTCTGTAATATAGAAAATAAGTTAAAATTCTGAATTACAAATTAAAAACAAATATTTTGAAGACATCTGGTCCACATCTGTCTGAAATAAGATAATTTAAAACAGTGTAATTAAATACAAGAAATACTAGAATTTTCACACCTTAGAATATAAAAAATAACTCATTCCATTTTAATGTGATTTCTTGAATTGGTGAATTTTTTTTTAAATTTTAGTGCCCTTTAGCCTCTCATTCTGTTAGTACAAAGAAGACTGACAAGCTAAACAAGAATAATCCATGGTTTTCAAAACCTCCATGAAATGAAAGAATTATATGTATTACCATTCTTTTATGTGTTGACTAACCTCCACTCCTAAGTTAATACTCAGTGGACTTAGACTCAGGCCCATCCCCTTTTGATGTATTTATTATTCTCCATTCAATTATTTAAAATGAGAGATTAGAGAGAGAGTCTGTAATCTCACTTCCTAAATTGTGCCTGCCTTGTGGGCACAGCGGGGCTCAGTAAATGCCAGAGGATGGTATTCACCCTCATGGAAACACAAAGCAACTTTGGTAACAGGTACTCTCATGATCAGTAGAGAGTCATCCTATGAAGACTGGTCTTTTGTTAAAAACCTGTGTTAAGTGGGAAATTAACCGTTTTACAGGCAAAGAAACTATACTAGGTTTTCTACAGTTTAACCAAAAAATGTGAAACACATGATAGATTTTTCCTTTAATAAAAGGCCGCAGAGCCTTAACACTTCAGTAGGACTGGGTTTTTGATACATGACAGAAAAATAATATTTATGAAAAAACTCAGTGCTGATGCTACAATAAAAGGTGATAGGGAGAAATCTCTACTTGGATGCCAGAGGCTCTCCTAACAATAGACCATGGAAGGAATTGATACTGTAAGAAGTGAAACACTTTTCCTCACACATACCCTAAGGTATCACAAATTATATTCTATGTATTTATTTCCAGGGAGCATGATAAAGATCCAGAAACTTTTTTAAAGATATTAATGCATCTTAAGGACTTAGGGCTCAATTTCCATGTATCTGTCCTTGGAGAAACCTTCACAGATGTCCCAGGTATGTATTTTGAATTTTTTCATGTGTATTTTTATAGATGACATAAGCTCTACAACTTAAGTATTAATTTCCATGTTTCCCTTTGTTAGAATAATCAAGATGAGCACTGTTAACCAAAAGATTATACGATGGCATTAAAGTGGGATTCAATTAAAAAAATACTTAAGTAAGCATTCTTTGATTTGAGAACGTAAAGTCATCTCTTTTATCAAATATAGTTTATACAATGCATCTAGATGTAAATACAATATATTGCTTTAGGCATCTTAACACTTAAGGAAAGTGGAAATTTGTAATTGGATGTACAACCTCTCACCTCTGGGGTCATTGGCTTGAATCCTACTCACAGTGGTAATGACTGAAATACATTACCATCTGTTAGGTGGCCTATGTAAAGCATTTGGCACCAAATTTGTAATGTAGTGTAGACCACAGTCCATATTATTCTTGTCATTGGTCCATCCCTTTCTATTGAATTTTTTAAAACCAACAAAAATCCTAAACACTTGTTTTCATTTTTTTTAAGCTTTGCATGTTCAGCCTTTTTTCTTAACTCCAAATACACAGATAACAAAAGTTCAGAAATGACCTTTACTATTGTGCATGACAACTCTTAAAGACCACTTAAAGTTTACTCTCTCTTAGCATGTACTTCTTGACCCTGGTTCATTGCTGAGAACTACACCTAGTCTGTACCTCTGCAGCCTCATCGGATATGGCTCATCCTCTGCCCACTGGGATGGTGGACATCTGCCTTTCTTCAGTTCCTTCAAGGCCCCAGGCTCCTTAGCCCTTTGGACATTTGCCTATTTGTTTCTGTTTTATCCTTTTGATCTTAGCTCAGGGGCATACTCTTTCAAGATATGAAGCTTTATCATGGTCTCATTGCACCCTGTACTTTTACTTCACGGTGCTTGCCTCACTTTCTAATCTTAGAATTATGTGTAATTTTTTATCTTATTCCCCTACACACTTGCGCACATGCACACACACACTGGGACGTCATTGCTTCACAGGGTCATGTCTATCTTGTCCTTTGCTATACCCCAAAGCCAAGTGCAGTGCCTGGCACAGTTCTGGAGCTCAGTGACTGTTTGTTGGATTAATGGGTAAAAATAATGTAAACTCCAGCCCTAGCTGGCGTAGCTCAGTGATTGAGCATGGGCTGCGAACCAAAGGGTCGCAGGTTCAATTCCCAGTCAGGGCACATGCCTAGGTTGCAGGCCACGACCCCCAGCAACTGCACATTGATGTTTGTCTCTCTCTTTCTCCCTCCCTTCCCTCTCTTAAAAAAAAATAAATAAATAAAATCTTTTAAAATAATAATAATGTAAACTCCCTGCCCTCATGCAATTTAGTCTTTTTTTTTTAAGATTTTATTTATTTATTTTTTTAGAGAGGGAAGGGAGGGAGAAAGAGAGAGAGAGAAACATCAATGTGCAGTTGCTGGGGGTTGTGGCCTACAACCCAGGCATGTACCCTGACTGGGGATCGAACCTGCGACACTTTGGTTTGCAGCCCGCACTCAATCCACTGAGTTATGCCAGCCAGGAAGCAATTTAGTCTTGTTGAAGAGGAAACACTTGTGCATAGCACAAGAAACAGAGAGTGAAATGCAAAATAATATAATTATATATCAGTACTGGCATATGTATGTTGTTTTATGTGGAATATTAATTGAATGGCCAAAAGATTAGGATATGCCAAAAGCAGAAACAATGCAGATAAAGTATATAGAAGAAAACATTTTAGATATTGTATTTAAATGAGAAAACAATTTCACAGATTAATGCTATGAGGTCCCTAATCTAACTAGACTAAGAGATTCAGCATGTAGACCTGAATAAATAATAATATGTACCTTACATAGGTAGGACAGGGCCAAAATATGGAGGATCTTGATAACCAAAGTAGATTAGGTAAAGGTAAAAAATAAGGAGCCCAGATCTGGCACAGGGAAAAAATTGATAGAACTGTATTTTAGGCAAGTTTATCATGCATTGGTATGTAGACAGAATCACAAGAAGACTCTACGGTGGTCATTCAAGTGTGATGCTCTGAGGTCATGACTGAGAGATTAGTGAGGGTGCTGTGTGAGAGAGAGATGCTCAAGGCAAACACAGAAAAGAATTTGACTGGTGGGTGGCTGTAAAGAAAGAAGGAAGGAAAAATCAGCTCATTTGCAAAACCGCTGAGTTTGGTTGTGTTTGTGCCACTTTGAGGTGTTGATGCCTGGACCAAAAGGTGGCCGCAGGACAGCCCCACAGAAGGCTTCGGAGGCAGCTTTACTGTTGAGTGGTTTTAGGCCACCACTGCAAACAAGACTAGGATTTCACTCCAAGGGCCATGTTCTTGGGATCATAGTCCCCCCTCCCACACATTAACATTGAGCTGCTTAGGGCAGTATGAATGGTTGAAAGTCAGGTGGGGAGCCATTAGGGGCCCAAGTACTGTGTGCGTAAGAATTACAAGCCCAGTCTTACTGTATTACTCACATTGGCTTCACTTCAACACACACTTACTGAACATCGTGGAAGGGAGATTCCAAGGCAAACAGGACTCAGTCTCCACCCTCAGGGCCCTCTGCCTTGGGGAGACACATATATAATTAACAGGTACCTAGGATGCTGTGAAATAATTATGGCATGCTGTGGAAGCCCATAGGAAGGGGCATCATGTTATCTACACACACGCTTGTGCCTCCTAGCCTCACTGGGGCTCCTTTCTGCTCTAGCCTGTGGTCCATCTGTGCCATTTCAAATGTGAATTGACTCCCTTTATGGGTATACCTCTTCCCCCTGCACCATAAAAGGAGCCCAAGCTGTTGTATGGATGGGTGAGGCTGATAACTTTCCAGGTTGCGCTTCTAAAAGCCACTTTGCCGGGCTTTCCTCCAGAGGCTTCCTAATAGGCCATCCTTTGTAACTTCTGCCCTTATTGTCACCGGGCTGGTTAATTTCACAAACGCTTACTGTATGCCAAGCATTGTTCTAAGCATTGTTCTCCATTTTTCTCAGGTGGAGAAATTGAAGCACAGAGAAATTAAGTTAGGTAATACTTTAACCACTATTTTATGCTATCTTTCCATGTTGTTGTTTCCTGACACACAATTCTCTAAGTTAAAACATTTTTTTCCCTAAGTCACCATCCAACACTTCTCAAACCAGGTTACCCGGCAGGCATACACTTCTTTGCCTGCTGTGTCCTCTTGGTGCTACATTAGCCAATCTGAAACCCGTGTCGTGAAACCAACTTACATACTGCTTCACATTGGCCAGAAGAATTTCTCTCCACGCTGCTAGTGTTTGTAAGGCAGTGGTTTTCTTGTAAATACCTGTTATAATTATTAGTATGCAATGAATTCCTCCTATTTATTGAAAGTTTGTTTCTTACTTGGTCCTTTTTTAGGTTATTTTATGTAATGCTCTGGATAAGCCCAGTGGAATGGGTATTATTTTCCCATCTGTTAGCTTTTCTAGAAACTGAGACTCTGAAAGTGTAAGTCCCATTAATTGCATTGCTTAGGAGAGTCAGACTTTTCTCCTTCGCATACAAGCACACAAGTATTGAAAAACCAAGACATATATGATGGCAAGACCACTAATTACTCTTCTATTCTTTTCTAATTGAGGTATGGTTTACATGTAACATTGTACAAGTTGCAGGTGTCACCATATGACTGTTTGCTACACAGCTGGGGCTCAGACCTGTCACGTCGTGTCTTTTCTTTGTGGCAAGAACATTAAAGATCTATTCTCTCGGAAACTTTGAAACCCATAACGCCGTATCGTTGACTAATCACTATTAGATCTCCAGAATTTATTCTTCTAGTTGCAAGTTTACACATTAAGACTCTTTATCCAACAGATAAAGATAAAGATAAAGTTCTTCCTTCTCCACAGAACTCTCAGGGAAGCCAGCACTTATCTGAGTAATGGCATTAGTGCCAGTGAGTTGTCGTGCCCTTCCTGGTGAGGCAAACTCCATTAATTTTTTTGAAAAATGCTAAAACTAGTAATAGAGTACCTTTGTAGAGTCTCCATACTGTTAATTATTTTCAAGTACGTTTTAAGTATTTTTAAATTATATTGTGACGTCTTTGTAGTCCTTTTTTGAAGAATGACATACATTAAGAATATTGATTCTAGTTTTCAGCTACATAGTCCATAGCTCTTTGGTATCATTCTTTCACTTTACAGAAGAGGAGAGAGATCTAGGAGAGTAACTATTCCAGGATCTCACAGTTGAGTGCAGTGTGAGACAAAGGCAGAAGAAGGTGGTAGGTTAGGAGGAGAACCTGGGAGTCGGCCTCTGCATCCCTCCTCATTCCTATATGTGTTTATTAAATTTTTTTTAAATATCTGCTTTGTGTTAAGGACTGAGCTGGACATTTAGGACAAAATGGTAAATAAAGCTGACAGGTTCTGTGATGTTTGCAACTTATAGTCCCATTCCAGTGCTTTATTCATTACTTACTAGAACACTCCTTTAAAACATTAGAACTGACATTCATTGAACACTTAACATGTGTCAGGTACTGTTCTAAGCCCTTTATGCTTTGCGTCACTTACTCTTCACAACTGCCCTGAGAATTAGGTGCTATTGTGATTACCATTTACAGCTGAGAAAACTAAGGCACAAGAAGGTTAAGTCACTTGCCTGAAATCACCCATCCATCCAATTCTGAAGCCTCAGTGCAGACCTTGTCAGTCCGCCTCCAGTGCCATAAATCAGCTGATACTCTGTGTGTAAGTCTACAACGTCACCCATGTTTTACAAGCAAGAGGACAGGAGGTGATATGGTGGGGAATTCCTGGCCACTCTTGTGAAATCACTTTCAGTGGAAAGTTAAACACACACACACACACACACACACACACACACACACACACACAACTTCGAATTCATTTCCTAAACATCTTTTTCTTTAAATATTAAAGTAAACTCCCTCTTTTATTTTCCATCTGGAAAATAAAAGGTGTGAATAAATCATCACAAAA